TTACATTCTTTTCTCATGTTAAATATTATCAAATTACCAAAATATTCCTGATTTAACGAACTTAATTAAGCGTTTGAATAACTATAATCTGGAATAAATTTTAGAGCTGACCTATTTAAAACAGGTTTTATGACTGGATTATGGGCGGTCTGGACAAGATCAAACCCAATAATCCACCCTAGTTATTTTGTCAAATGAAAATATTGAACAAAGCCTTTCTACTTAATTTGTTATGTAAGGCAAATATAAAAGGAGATAATCTGGCAAACAACGATCATCAACTTGATTAAAAAACGAAGATTAAATCTTTTTCGTTAACGTGGTATTTGCACAGAATCCAGATGATGCCTATAAACCATTTAACAATTTTACTCTATCACAGTTACCGCACTTATACCAGTAGCTATGTATGGCAATATTGGGGAAAGAAATAACATATACAAATGAAGAAGAGAACGAAGACAAACCTAGATCATTGATAGCTTCAATGCTTCTAGCAAAATGGAGTGACTTATGTACGAGTAACATTTAACTAAAAAATTTCGATAGTTATATCTTAATCTACAGAATGAACGTATAAATTATTTACATAAAAAAAATGGCCTAGTATTAAAACAAAGGAATTGATAATTAAAATTGGAGTTTCATTAAATAACTATTGTTGGAATATTTTTCGATTCAACTAAAAAGAAACTTGCATTTGTCTAATTGATCTCTTCAATTTTTCTTTATTTCCCTTATTTTTTTATGAAATTCTCTAAAAATTTTATCCAATTATTTATGGCATAAACAGTTTTTTTCCTGATTCAATTCTTTAAAAAAAATTGATAACTTTAATTTTATTTTCCTTGCTAAATAAAAAAAAAAGTAAATAAAAAATCAAAAACAAATTAAATGATTATCATACATACTGAATTCTTTTTGTTTTACATCTTTTCGGTAAATTTATTAAAATGCAATGCAAAGACGAAAACTAAAAAAAAAAAATAGTAACGAAAGAAAAGAATTATTTATATAAAAAGTTAACGTAATTAAAAAGTCATTTTTTTTTAAAAAAAAAAAAGATCAGAAAACGTCAACGAGAGTTATATCGGTCACATAGACTTTCATTGATTGGTGAAAATGGACCCATTACCATCCAATCATTTAGTCCTGTGATGATATAGTTCTCTTTCATCTAATAATATATACTTATATAAAGTTAATTGTTAACATAGTCAGTCATTAGCAATATTAGTAAACCTATACATTCCTTATCAAACCTCACATTTCTGACCATGCCTAATAAGGAAATATACATATTCTGCAAGGATCATAAAGATCCCAGGGGGTAGGTCCCAGCGCCGGCATAAAACGGCTCTTGGTTTTGAATGGAATGTAGCAGGGTGAGATAGCGAAGAAGTAATATATTTCGAGCACCATTGATATCCCGATCAAGCTCAACTGCACAACTAGGCAACGGAATACTTTGGATCCACTCAATTTTCGATGGATATGACCACAGCACCCACATGTCTTCTTGTATATTCTTCAGTACATACAATTACCTGACACCATGGATGCTCACGAACCTTATGCAGAAGATATTGGCGGAATCGGAAGTGGGACCATGTTAACATCATCTGTGCAGTCTTAGAACGAATCCGCCGTTTTCCACGCATAACCATTCCCTGTGTCTTAAACTCAGGCAACATAGCCATTTAGTGTACGCATGCCTGGGTCTAGAGCAATTATTCCTCCCTATTAAATTATTTATTAAATGATTTTATTAATTTATTTTTTGAATATTATTGTATAACGATATAAAATTATAAAATTATTTAATAAAATAAATAAAAACCTTTTCTTGCACTCCTAAATATAAAAGGCCTTGTTTTTCAGTCTATATTTCAAGTGGTTTAGGTATGCAAAGGTAAAATTCTCCAAGGCGATTTACAACAAGACGACTATCATATTCAAGTTGATTTGGAAGAGTTTATGCTGACTTGATTTGTGAAGAAATGCGAATTCGTTACGAGACTTGCCCCAAATATTTAGAAAGTATTGAAATTAATTGTTGATAACCCTTTTAGACAGAACTTCAATCTTGAATTTTTTATGATTTGTAGCAAAGTTGGAAGAATTTCTTTAAGCAAGTCATTCATAGCTTCATCTTGTATATCATAAGGAGTTTCTATAACCCACTTAAGTTTTGTATCATTCTTAAAGTTTACAACGTTGAGATATCGTTCTCACAAATCCTTTTGTTTTGATTGATACCTACTTTTTTTGACTGTGAAAAGGCATCAATTGTATATCTAGCGTGCTGTCCCAATCTATTGTCTAAGTTTTAACTGCTCTTCTTGTATAGAAAAGAGACAGATACGTTGTGTTTTGCCTGCTAGAGTCTTAGAACTCTTGATCTTCTTAGGCTTGGGCAGCTTCTCGTCTTCTTCTGTAGTTAACGGCTAAACATATTCTATTATTATGTGTTACTACAATACTGTAACGATTGAGAGCAAGTCCTCTGCATGCTCTCTGACTTCATTACTCTCAGTACTAACATCTATACCAAATACATGAGCCAAGTCCCACACTTTTCAAAGATCCATTCCACAAGCTCGGGTCTGAAACAACACAATCATTCCTAATAAAAAAAGGTTAGTAAATAATAAAAGCAATAAAAATAAAAATAAAAAAAATTAAACTCAACTTTTCAGGTAACCACTACTTCCTCGATTCTTCCTGCATGTATTCATTCCAGAAGGGTAATAAATCCCCTGCGTTTCCAGTTGAGTCCTGAGCTGATATCACTAACGATTTCATATTTGTTGTTCCATTATACTTTCATTTAAGTGTGAGTAGAAAGGTTTTTTTTTTCCTTTTTATAGCTTTATACATAGATTTGTGGCTTGTTATGACGAAATATATAGACTTACAAAAGAATTTATTCACATTTCAAAGGAATAAAAAGAATAAATTGAAAATATATGCAATTTTTAGATCGTACGTCACAAAGATTACGAAATTGGCATCATCCTTACATATTTTTTTTCTAGTCTAAAAAGTCAACACTATCGCGAATTGAAAATCGAAATGACAAAATCATTATTTTACTATTTACTTCTGTTCTACCAAGATGAATTTTATTAAAAATCGTCGACATGGATTGATCTTAATACCTTTCCTAAGGTTGATTGGTTACTTATTCAATATGAACCTTCTAAATATGTAATGTGTTAACATGATAAGCTTAATAATCACACAAATATTCTTATTTCTTTTTTAGTTCTACCGTATATTAATCGGAAACTAAGAATTATACTATTTGAAATTTTGAAAAAAAAATAATAAAGTCGTCGATAATGCTGCGCCACTAAATAGTAGGAATAGTTAAAGCAAAGAATCAAATTATAATATTTGGCTAAATTAAAACTTTCTATTAAGCCAAAATTGCTCAATTATATTACTATTAACCGGGCGGTCAACCGGTCAGTTAAAATCGGTCAGTTAACAGGTCGGTCAGTCAAAGGCCTTTGACCGACCGTTGACCGATCACGACCGTCCGTTAACATCCCTAATTATCATCATTTAAAATTTCTTCTGAAATATCACTAATTGAAGTGACATTAATACCCCACAACCTAAGTTTGTCAGTAACAACCCCAGCAGTGTCATTTGGTTTTTACATTTAATAGCTCCTTTAAGGTCATCAATATCATTATTCGTTCCAATATTAACTTTGAAATCGAACTGCTTTCCTGCATAAAGCATCAAAGTTTTCCAACGATAGTTTGTACGTTTTTAATTGTATAAAATGGGAAATCGTGAAAAGAAAATTTCTTTTTGAAAAAAAAATTGGGGTACTATATATATGAGAATAGAATGTCACACAAATTGATTTTTCGTAATAATAAAGAATCAAGAATTTAATATATATATATTTTTTGTTTACGAATGATAAGTGGTTAAAAAACGAAAATAAAATAATTTTCTTAGCAATAACAAATTAAGTTTAATTAGACTAAAGGAAAATATTTTTCAAAAGAAATCATATCAAATACCAAACAATGAAATTTCCTTTTAAAGAACCGTCAAACTTTTCGATCTGGTGTTGAATTGAACTATCCAAAGGAATAAATTCTTTCACTTTTAGGTCTTTTTACAATAGCAATTATTTCTAAAATTGTAAATTCTCTGGTCTTTTAATGATTTGATTCATAAATATAACAAAAAGTTCTTAATTTAAAAAGCATATTTTTAGTAAACAATGTTTTTTTATGGTGTTATCAGTATGAATGATATAAAGAAAAGGAAAAAAAAAAAATTTTTTTTTTTATTTTTATTTTTTATAAATATATTATATTTATATTTATATTTATAAGAAAATATCGAAAAAAAATTTTCGTTTATAAAATCACGAACAAAATCGATATACACTCAATAGATCAGTAAAGCTGGGTAATGTTTTAATATGAATACTTCCAAAAAAAACGGTTTTTATGGTGGATAAATTATATAAAGTTTAATTTCACCTCACTATTAAATTTTCTACCTTTTATTTACTGTACAGTCGCGTCGGAAAATGACGCCCGATTTACTGTAAATTACATAGTAAATTATATATAAAAATATTTTCTGGATCTTACAATTAAAATAGTCCTTGCATTTGAAATTCCCCAAAGTTAAATTTTATTTTCTTTATAAATATAATAATTTTGCTAATATTTTATTTATAAAAACATAACATAGATAGATAGATATATATATTCCGCAATAAAAATGCAAATAAAATATTCTACTAATTTATTAAAATGATTTCATTTCATCGAAAAACATTAATTTGATCTTTTTTTTTTTTTTTAAAAAAAAAAGGAAAAAAGACAAAAAATGAAAATTTTGGGACTTTTCTCTATACTTTTAATTTATTAAATAATAAAAAATAATAAAATTTTTTTATTAATTAATAATAAAATGGCAAATATGTCATTACTTTATTATAATAAATTTCGGTAAGGCATTACCAAATTCTTTTATTTTCTCGAATGGTAACCTCCAAACATCGAGATTCGTTATAGAGAGCTTCAACTATAGATATTTTAATTAGTAAATTAAGAATATTCTGTATTTAACAATTTAACAATTATTTATTATTATGCCTTATTCCAAATTTTCATTAATTCTTTGGTCATTCTATTCTGGATAAAAAAGGGAAGATCGTGACATTAAACTAATAATTATATATTTGAAGGGACAATTTTCTTCAGATTAGATCATTTTTAAGTTTCAGGTTAGATTGTTTCCGATCGCAGTAATGGAATATTTTTTCGTCATTATTTTTTAATTAATAATTATTTCATTTTTAAATTTTTTTTTTTAGACGAATTTTTTCGAGCTAGATACATAGGTAAGTTTCGTTTTTTTTTTTGATTACCTCTTTTTTTAAATTATTTTAAGCCGTTTTTTTTTTTTTTTTTTTTTTTTTTTTTTTTTGGATCGTTCGCTGCGAGCCGCAGCAATCACTTAATATTTTTTTAATTCCCGGATTCGATCGCTCAGGCCACAACAATTTAACGAATTTTTCAAAAAAATTCATGCGCACCTTTTTTTTTCTATATGCTCCTCATTTGGGCTGGATCAATAAAAAGTGTTTTTATTCATTTAATTATTTTTAGGTAGTTTCTTTCGGGTTGGATTGCTTCAATTTGAATATTATGTAAATTATTTTTGTTTTATTTTATCTTTATCGGGTTGGATTCAAAAATATCGAGTTTCTTTATTCTTAAAGCTGATTATTTTTACTATCCAAATATCCAAAATTATTAATATACAGTTAGTAATATGAAACCGCTTAAATTTATGATTTAGTCGCTGGCTGCACTAGGACCCCAAACAATACTAATATAGGTAACATCCAGCCAAAAAAAAATTACTAATGTCTGTACGCAGGACTTTTTACTATAGTCCGTACGCATTTTTGGCTTCTGAATTTCAAAATTATAATAAAATATGCATTCCGAACATCTGACTATAATAAAAAAATTTTTTTCATTAAATAAAAACTTTATATATTGCACGAATTTAGAGAGGTGAAAATAAATAAATAAGATAATAATAAAATGAAAATTTTAAAAGATATAAAAAAAAGTCTAAGAAGGGGTTTGGTATCCCCAGAAAAAAATTTTTTACATAGAAATTTTTTTTTTACACGTTAGAAACATTGGATTCCACAACCTTTTTTATTAATTATATAGATTATAATGTAAAATGTCGAGCGACCATTTTATGCGACCAAAACTATAGATATTTCTAAAAAGGAAAGTATCGGTCAAAAATATATCAAATCTTAACATATTACTATTTTAAAATCCAATAAAATTACGAAAATAAAAACTATGACTTCATCATAATTTTCAAAATCTAACCTATTAAGACACCTATATGGGATTCCTGCTACACTACATATTTATTTCTATCTCCTATAATAATTTTTGAAAATTTTGCATAATATCTCATCGTAAGTTATATAAATTTATCTCTCGATTCAATTAATATCATTAAATTCTAATTTATAATTAAAAATACAATCTGTTAAAACTCCAGCTAATTCCTCTCTAAACAACACCATCTCATATGAATTTAATTAAATATTACAATTTGTTAATTAGTTAATTGATGAATATTATCGATACTAAAAAATTGCATTCCCGTTTGATCTATTATTTACATTGGAACTGATCACGATCACAGTTGGAATTATGGGTTAAATTCCAACCAGTACCATTAGCTTTTGAACATATATCAAAGGGTTCTCGAAGATACTTAAGTTCCTTTACTTGGTTATCTGTGGCAGTTATTACACAGCTACTAGTATCATTACCGACTATTGGACAATAAATATGACCAGAATTACCACAAGGTTCTCCGCAAAATGAAGGTTTTGTGTCACATATTTCAACATTAAACTTTCTTAAGGTAGCGCTTATTATTGTTGCCGCCATAGTGTTATATGTACTGTTTTTAATAGAATTATATATTTCATCTTTATTGTTAAGCATTTTATCCTTTTTCGCAATTGTATTAACAGTAAAGCTAGCTAATATTGACTTGTTTCCAGCAAAAAAATTACTGTGTAATGTATCTTCAAAATGAAATTGAAGATGTTCACTTGCGGCTGATAGATATGATGAAATATCGGGATAGGTTTGCCCACTTCCGGTAAATGATTGATGAACATTGTTCATTAAACTTGGAAGAAAGTATGAATTCATCAAGTTAGCCGTATAAAATCCAAATTTCATCGGCACCGTATCCCTCTTATGTATTCTGCGAAGCTCACCGTCCTTAACAATATAATCAAGAAAATCCTCGTCTTCTACTCTATTAAAGTATGACGCCATTCTAAACATTGAAGCAGCTTGGCAATCTGCCAGAAGGCATCTAGTTTCCTCCTCTTCCCCCTCTTCTACTATTTCTTCGGCACCTTCATAAACATTGAATGCCTCTACGTTGGCTGGATCTGCCACCGCTAATTCTATAAAACTTTCCGCTGCAATACTTTCTGCCGATCCTTCAGCTGATGTTGCTACAACAGATTCTGCAGCACCAATTTCGGAAGCGATTTCGGAGGTGGTTGCCACGACCTCACTAAACATTGCTACGCCGAAGTAATAACCAACCGTAGGAAGAGCAATTAGAGCAACGGCAACGGCCACAGAAATTAAAATAGTTTTGAGCAAGTGTTTTTTAGGCGGTGGCGGCGGAGGTGGGATCAATTCTTTTAGATTTTCGGGAGTCATTTTAATACTTAGTTCTCCAAGAGCATCATGGAACCCTTGATGGTGACTATCCCAATAATTGAATAGCTTGTTTGCCGAATTAATCATGTGGTATGTAGCAACACCATATTCATCAGGACTGAACGAGCTGCCTGAACCGAACTGAAGGGATGCAGCGTATGTTCCAACTTCATTACCAGTCAAATAATCGATACATTCAGCTATATGTTCTGTTTGATTAATTTGAAAACCGGGTGCATCTGGGTGTTTACCTTCACTGCAATACTTTGCAGTTAAATCAGTTGGAAATACATGATCTGGGTTCGGTATTTCTTTCTTATATGTAATTTTAGGGGTCGGAATGATTTTCATAGTGTAATTACTTAATTTACATTTGTAATTATTTTGGTCCTTTTCGGTATACGACAAAACCGAAATATTCTCTCTGTTTATTTTCACCATAAAGCTGAAATTACAATCATTGGTGCATCCCCACATAGTGATGTTTAAAGTTGTTAATGGTGGCTTATGCTCTATAGTTTGAACATTCCTGATCAATAGGGACGTCGAATAAGTAACGCCATCATCGTCTATATGGAACGACGCATAGTAAGAAGGTACGACTTGGTCGCACATATTATAATCGTGTTCTACAGTGATCCAATCAGCAATAACTGCCGATGAAAAATGTATAAGAATGTATAATAAACTTTTCTTCATGATTGAAATAATTTTTTTTCCTTGTCGAAAAATCAGGTACACCTTATATACTGTATATTACCCTCTGACAAACCATTTCGTTATCCTAATCCTTATAATCATTTCATTTTACGATTTTCATAATCGGAATTGAAAATAAGTTTTAGTCATAACCGCAGTCGATCTCGGAACAGTCGATCTCTCGTCCGGAACGTTTACTTCATTTATTTATATATATTGCATATAATAATAATACATTTTTACATCAGAATTTTTTTATTATAGTCTCGCTCAATA